TCACTTGCCTGCCTACAGATTATTATGACTGAAGACAGCACCGAGGTCATTCAAGATTTCCTTCTTGCAGCTGCATTGGTCATATTTAGATTGCAAAGTTCAAGAAGTTGTTAGGTAGCTAGGATAGTTGAAAGGTAATATTAAAATGGGAAAATTATGTCAGGAGTGAGGGAGGTAGATGATAAAACCACGAGGGCAGGAGTAGAGTATGTTAGTCTGTTGCCTCGGCCATGCTTCATCCCCCAGGAAGGACCCCGGTATCCATTGGACAGGAGACTGGGTGGGCCCCAGAGCTGATCTGGATGCAAAGGTTAGAGGAAAAATCCTGTACCCCTGTCGGTTATCGAACCCCGATCATCCAGCCCGTAGTCAGTCACTGTACTGACTGAGCTATCCGAACTCACATTAACAGTGATTTCTGACTGTAAATCAGAGGAAGCAGCTATCAGTCAGAATTAGATGGGAAGGAACTGTAGGATAAAAGCTAAGCTATTTGGTGTTATTGGTAGGACGGTTTTCCCCCACTGTACAACAGGTTAAATAAAGCTTACAGTGAAGCCGATACAGGTAAAACATTTGCCCGATGCATTTCTTATTCAGAATGGCCTGAAACAAGGACTGGCTTTTCCAACAATATTTTGCAAGTTTGCTTTAGAATATGCCATTAGGAATATGCCAAGAGAACTTTTAGCGTCTGGTCTACGCTGATGTTAACGTATCGCGTGAAAACACAAAGATCAGAATGAAGAAAAGCACAGAAGCTCCATGAGATGTTATAAAGAAGTTGGTCTGGAAGAAAACATAACTAAGTATTTGTTCATGTCTCATCACCAGACAGCAGGAAAAAATCATGACACAATGGTAAATAATGAACACTTAAAAATGTGGCAAAGTTAAAGTCTTTGAAAATAAGTGACAAATCAAAATAATATTCATGAAGAAATTAAGAGAAGATTAAATTCAGGCTTGCAACTGTTCACTTCAGAACCTTATTCTTCCATTTGCTGTCTAAAAACATGAAAGTTGTTAGAAATACACTAATTTTGACTGCTGTCTTGTATGGGTGTGCAAATTTGGTTTACTGCATTAAGGGAAGGCTTCAAGTGTTTGTAAACAGGGCACTGAATAGAATATTTGGACACCTTAATTTTTAAGAATGTCGAGGAAACATAATTTCAGCGGAATAAATTTATGATTTTTCTATGAGTTAAAATTAATATATTTCTTGCATACTTACGAGTTCGCTATTTCATCATAATTATTTTGAAGGAAGTTGAAAGCAAGTTGAAATCCCTCAGGGTTTGAGTATACAGCGGAGAACACACTTGCTGAATCTTGTCTTCGTATGTTTTCATTATTTGTGATTGACATCATCAGATATCTGTAATATTAAAAAGAATGTCTGACGACAATTTTTTAAATAAAATGTTGATGTGCTTGATAGGAAAAAAGAGAGAGAGAGATTTACAGAGTGCAGTCTGTAGCTTCCACACGCCCATCTTATGGAATTATACCGTAACAGGGTGACTATATTACTGTAAAAGTTCTTGTATTGTCCCAATTAAACTGCACTTTGTAAATTACCTGTTAATGAGGGTTTGATTTGTAGTACATCCCAAAGCTCCTAGGATGAGGGACTGCTCAGTAGCATAGTTGGAATCAACATACTTGTTCCACAAAAGATCCCAGTCCTCCTCTCCTCCATGACGAAGTGCCGTACAGTAAGTGACACTCTGCAGGTTTGCTGGGATGGTGTTACTGTCAATTAAAAATATATTTATTCTTGAGGTTTAATTCTAAGATATGTGTTAATGTATTATCATCAGAATTATGGTCAAATCATATAATAACCCTTGAAAAAGGTGGAAAAGTCCAAATACGAGGCGCGTCCCAAAAGTAAGTTTCCCACTCGTCCCACAGCTAGCAAACCTTATATTGCGCGAAGCGACTGTGCGTACGTGATAGAGCAATGACGTAGCATGGCGCATGCACTAACGGAACTTCCCGCGTTCTCACATTAGCATCGTTGCAGCTGTTGAAGATGGAGGTTCTTATTCCAGCCCCCGCCGACTGTGAAGTGCGGTCAGTGATAACGCTAGGCCGCACACGGCTCGACGGACAGCAAGTCTCCTGCAGAAGTTCAGCTGGGAGGTGTTTAATCATTCACCCTACAGCCCGGACCTCGCTCCCAGTGATTTCCATCTTTTCCTACACCTCAAGAAATTCCTGTCCGGTCAGCGTCAGCGTTTTGAGAATGAAAGAGAGGCGGAGATGGTTGTCACACAGTGGTTCCAATCCCAGGCGGCAGACTTCTACGACACAGGTATTCAAAAGTTGGTCCCACGGTATGACAAATGTCTCAATTCCGGTGGCGAATATGTTGAAAAATAGCTGGACACTTGCTGTATCTGTTGCAATAAATATTTACATGAAATTGTGTTTTGTTTCTGTAAACGGCCCAAGGGAAACTTACTTTGTGGACGAGCCTCGTACTAT